ATAATAAATTATAATTTTAATAATTATTTTTTATTAAAATAATAAAATTTTTATAGTAATTTGAATTATATATAACAATAAATTATTTATTTACTACGTGGAAGGTTGCTTGTGACTTTTTAGCTCATAATGTAAAGTTGTTTTAAATGTTATTACAAAAACCTATTTATCGGTCACGTGGGCTGCTGTAGGTGAGCAGCTCGCTAAGTTTATCATCAGAGCAAATGAAGCGCTGTTAGTGTACAGATGAAGTGCATTGGCTGGGCTTCAGGCTGCTTGTTGGTTAATGAAGCCACAGGGCACCAAGAGAGGTTACAGCGGATCTGATCTCACACAGGAGACTTGTGAGGCCTGCGGTGCATGACAAGATCATTAGATACTGCTTACACGCGTCCCGCACGCGCTCCACACCAAACAAAGAGCCTGCTACAGTGCCTTCAGAGCACGTTTGCATTGTCCTGATGCTTTCTGCTGGCTTTGTGCTGATTACAGCCCTCCAGACGAGTTAAAGCCTCATTAGGATGCTAAAACAAAGACGAGAGACAGGCTTCTTTGAGACGCTTTCTTGTGGGGACAGACCGTCCCTGCGATCACGTCTTTTCACATTCGCCAGCGCTGGCTATTGCCTTCAGCAATGCTCTGACTGATCCGTTATCCTAGCGCTTTGTAGCAGTTGCACATCACTGGTTTCATGCGTAGATATACATATTAGGGCTGCACGATATATCGAAATTATCGAAATATCGCAAATGTAAATATCGCAATATGCATATCGCAAGGGCGTGCGATATCTGAATCATTTTAATAATAGGCTACTTAAATCAAAACGTTGCAAAAGGTCAAAGTTTTAGTTCGACGCATATAGCAGAGAATTGCTTGACGTTAAAAAGAGTTAAGTGCAATAAGCTGCAGAAAACAACTCTTTGCCGTCTCGTCTTGCTGTCTGAGTCATCTCGCGCAGCGTCTCTTCAGTTCTGCCGCACACGTGCAAAGCACGCGCACACACAGAGAGACACACAGTTGATTCGTCTTTCGCATCTCCTCATGTTTGAACAGACACATACACACAGAATTATGTCAATAGCACCCGTCTCTACGATTATTCTCGTAAACGCAGTCGGTTATAAACACAGTCTGTTATGTTTTAAATGAATGTAAACAGCTGAGAAAGAAATCGGATGTGTATCATTATACTGGATCCGTGCAGTCGGTTTTAAAGGGACAGCAGCCTATAAATACGTGCTGCTGTATATGTGACTAATGTTAATCAAACAACAAAACAGCTATAACAAAGATTAATCTAAATTTAATTCATACAGTGAACACTATGCAGTGTTATTTTACACTTAATTATTAAATTTCTGTACCTGAATACTATTGTTTATATTATCTATGCTTTTTTTAATTAATTTTTTTTTTTTTTCAAGCACTGTTCACTTGCCTTTAATCGATATTTTAAAATATAATTGAAATTGATTTTACACACTTTAAGCAATATCGTATCGCATATCGAATATCGCATTTTTTAACAAGGTATCGCATATCCCATTTTTCTTCAATATCGCACAGCCCTAATACATATATATAATTATTATTTTTTATATATAATCAATTCGATTTTTTTTGTTTGAGACCTACAAGATAATGCATATATAAAAATAATATTTTTAAAAATATTTAAATGTTATATAATAATTTGTAAAATATATCTGATTTTATTTTTGGGCTATATTTTATAATATAAAATATATAAAAAAAATTTTTTGGCTATATCTATTATACAAGGTATTTCAAATATATTTATATTTTGTATGTATAGCTCGTCTGATTTCAATAATTAAATAATTAAATAGAATTCTTTATATAAAAAATAAACAAACCTATAACATTTTACATATTATAATTTTTAAGTGTTAAAATGTGTTATTACATTAAATATTTATAAATCTCTGATTATATTTTTTGGCTATATTTTATATTTTAGAAAATAAACTTTTTTGCTATATTTTATAATATCAAATATATTAAATATATTTTATGTTTGTATGTATAATTTATCAAATAATTAAGAGTGAGTTCAAATAATTAAGATATTACATATTTTAGAATTATTTAAAAAATAAACCTGTAACATCATGCATATATAACTATTACAATTTTAAATATTTAAATATGTTATTAAATTAAATATTTATAAATCTATGATTATATTTTTGGCCTATATATATTTTAGAATATAAAATATGCAACATTTATTTTGGCTATATTTTATAATACAAAATATGTATTCAAATAATTAAAATATTGCATATATAATATAATTGTTATATGAAAAATGAATAATCCATAATATAATGCATACATAAATACATTTTATATATGTTATTAAATAATTAAATAAATAAAAATATCTTATTTGGCTGTAATATATGTTTTTGGCTGTATTTTCTAGCTATATTCTAGCGGTTGCAGACGACAGGTTTCATGGCTCTAGTGCAGTAACTAGTATAATTGAGTTTAATATGAAGTGTGTTATGTCTGTGTTGATGCTGTGGACGTGAAGGTAATGTGTGGTTGTGTGGGCTGAACGCAGCTGCTGTACGGTCTGACTCACTCATTTGACGGCGTTTATTGACATTAAATATTACACGCCGATGACCGGCCAAGATACTGGAAGACTGTTTAGCTTTGGTGTGCGTGGCATTGTCATGATAGCAGTGCTGGAGGGACTTATTAAAAGTGCAATGCTATTTTTGTTGCGTTGCACAGCTGAGCAGTAAATCTGAGTTAATGCTGTAAATAAATATGCCTTCTCAGAAAGTCCTTCCTCTCTCTCATGTGAAGCATCCGAATGAATCGATTCCCTAAAATGAATCTATTCGTTTGAGTGGATCATTCTCATGAGTAACTTCAAAAAAGACTCCTATTCATTCAGTCCCAAATTCCCCTCAGTGGCAGTAGTATACAAAATAATTTATATTCACTACAGTAATGTTTATTTTTATATAAACAGTTCTATAAATTCTATGGACCTTTTTCACATTGAAATTATAACATTGAAATGATTTGAAATCAAAGAAATATATAAAATGTATGTATAATTAGTCTGATTTCAAATAATTAACATATTACATAAATAATATTGTTGTTTATATACAAAAATGTGCCAACCTATAAAAATATTCTAATTGTATTTAAACATATTAATAAATACCATTTAAAAATTTTATTAAATAATTAAATATTTTAAAATCCCTGTTTTTTGGCTATATTTTAAAATACAAAATATATGACATTTTGTATTTTGTATATATAATTTGTCTGATTTCAAATAAATAAAATATTGCATATAATATAGAATTGTTAATATACAAATATGAACAAACCTATTACATAATGCATATATAAATGTTATAATTTTAAAATATGTAAAAATTGTATTAAATCAAAATAAAATAAAAAACTGATTATATTTTTATTATATAAAATATATTTGTTTGATTTCAATTAATTGAAATATTAAATAGAATTGTTTTTATAAATATAAACAAACCTATAGCATAGTGCATATATAAATATTAGAATTTTATAAAGATTTAAATATATTATTAAATGAAATATTTAAAAATCTGGTTATTGTTTTGCTTTTTTGTATTTTATAATCTAATATATATAAAATATTATATATTTTGTATGTAAATATGTCTTAATTGTAATATAAAAAGAAAAAAATCTACATAATGCATATATAAATATAAAATTTTACAATATTTAAATATGCTATTAAATAATTAAATATTTCAACATCTCTGATTATATTTGATATGAAAACATACTGTCTGTCCCAACTAGCTACAGTTTCTGAGTACTTTAAAACACAACACAGCTTTCACAGATAAAAGTGAAACAAGGACAAATACACATTGAATAACTGAATAACAGTTGCTAAACTCTCTCTCTGTTTCTTTCTCTTCCCAGTTCATCGCGTTCGCCTCCCTGTTCTTCATCCTGGTCTCCATCACGACCTTCTGCCTGGAGACGCACGAGGCCTTCAACACGATCATCAACAAGACGGAGGCGTTCCGCAACGACTCCTTCACGGACTTCAGCAAATAATGTAACAACTCAAATAAAATAAGCTGAAATACTAAAATTACTATAAATAAAACTGAAATAAAATAAATTAAAGCCAAAAGAAATATCATTCATCATTAAATAATAATAATTATAATAATAGTAATTTTAGTATTTCAACTTAAACTTATTTAATTTTAATTAGTTGGCAAGACAGTTTAAAATAAATTAATAATAATAATAATAATATTTATGTATTTATTTAAAACTGTCGTGGCAACTACTAACTGAAATAAAAGAAGTTTAAGTTGAAATACTAACATTACTATAAAAAAAATTGCAATAAAAATAAAGTAAAAAAAGAAGTGAAATTATTATTATTAATATTATTATTATTATTATTATTATTAATTCACAAAAGTACAAAACAAACTGACTAAAAATGACTAATATTAAGATAAAAACTGAAAATATAAAAACAAAGCCTAATTCAAAATATCAATGAATGTTTTAATAGTGTATAAATAATATTTAAAAACATAAAGTCGAAATGTTGGAAGTATTGTTAAAAGGTTGTTAACAGATTTGTTGTAAATGTTGTAAACGGATTTAATTTAGGCTTTTATTCACATATAAACATGCATAGACGCATAGAAGCTTCTGTGTTTACCATATGTGATTCGCTCTAGGTATGTGTGTTTATATGTGAATAAAAACCTAAATTAAACGTTCATCATATAAAGCAATCGTTTTTTTTTTTTTTACAAGACTTCAATTAAATTATCTTTTTGGATGTTTTATGTTTTGGTTACTTGGACTTTCAATGGAGGGACTGAAACCACTCAGGATTCATTAAAAAATATCTTAATTTGTGCTTCAAAGATTATCCAAAGTGTTTTGGGTTTGGAACGACATGAGGACATAGTTTTCATTTTTGGATGAACTATCACTTTAAATTTGATGGTAGTTTAGCATTTATGTAGTTCAACTTTAAATACTGTATGTTAGATGCCAAATGCATGAAAATGTACATTTGTGCATGCTTAAAAATGACCAAAAAAAAGCAATGAAAGTCCATACGGCTTGTGCACTATATTCCACTAGTCATATGAGAGCTTTTGAGTGAGAAACAGACAGAAATGTAAATCATTCACGCCCCATTCACACGGGGCGTCAGCGTCAACGCCTCTCGTTTACTTTGAATGGAGTGACGTCAAGAGTTGGCAAAATGAATTGTGGGTCCGTCGCATGTCACATCAGTCACATGACACATATTAGCCAAGAACAAAACCAGTCTCAAAAGGTGCACTAAGCGATTTTTACCAAACGATGTTGATATTCGAAAGCACCCCCCGTGTTAATTTTGACAGGCGTTTTTGATTTAGTCTTACGCCCCACGTCAACGCCTCTCGTTTACTTTGAATGGAGTGACGTCAAGAGTTGGCAAAATGAATTGTGGGTCCGTCGCATCGCGTTGGGTCCGTTGCTTTTCAACTTTTCAAGTGCCAACGCAGGCGTCAGCCAATCAGATCGCCTTATGCAAATACCCTAGCGCAGACGCTAGCCAATCGCGTTCATGCAACACCAGAAGACTAATGTGATTGGCTGTTGTCACTATGACGGTCGTCAGCACCAAGCTTCAGAAACGCCCTCCGTCAAGCGTTAACACTGACGCCCCGTGTGAATGGGGCGTCACTCTTATCATACTCTAGTGTAGCTCTTAATCAGTCACATGACACATATTAGCCAATGATGAGCCATCAATGGCATCATTGTTTTTTAATTGAAGGGTTTGAACAACATGAGTATGGCCAATTTCATTTTGACTGAATTATATCTAATATCTATTGCATGGAGTTATGAATTTCGGATTTGTATTTCCTGGTTGAAGCTGATATTTCTTGGAGAGCTGAGCATGAGAGGCTGCAGATCTAGCGCAGATCGCCTGTTGCCACGGAGATAAGGCTGCGAGGAGATGGGCTGCGTTTCAGTCTGACATTAGAGACAATAGTGAGAATGAGAAAGTGTGCAGGGATGTGCATGCTGGTCATTTACACGTGACGGTTTTCAGGGTGAACAATCTGAGGACGAGGTCTGAACAATGGGAAAAACTCGTGGAAAATTAGGCCTTAAATTAGCTGTCCAACTGTTTTTGAGAACAAAAATACATATGTGTTATGCCAAGTCAGAAATGCATCTGATCTGGGTCAGGTGAACCTGAAATCAGTCTAATTATACAGTGCTGACTATGCAGTATATACATTACTGACATTTAAGTCATCACTGTGTTTTCATGATCAGTGTTGATAATGTTAACTAAATCTAAAACAATTCAAAATTGTTTCCGTTTATTGAAATAAAGCTGAAATAAAATATGAATATTTTCTAAATATAAATGTTTTCATGGTCAGTGTTGCTAATGTTAAAATGCTAAAGCTGGTATATATTAGGGGGGCGCGGTCATCCGAAGCGTGAACCCGCGTCTCAGAACGCGCGCAAATATTAAGCTCTCTGTGAAGTATTGTGCTTGAATGGACAAATTCACACAAAAACTGTCAAAATGCCCATCTTGTTGAGTATCCTAGCAGACATAGTCAGCTGAACGTACAGTATCAGTGCACTGGATCAGTGCGTTCTCTTAAAGTGACAGCAC